ATAAAGGCATGACACAAAAGTGGCCTGGGAGATGTATACTGGCCGCATAACGTGATCTATTGTCCATTCACACTAGGGGGGAACTGCTGGGCAAGAACCGGGTGCCCGTGGGAGCCAACCCCTCCCAGGGCAGCCCCGTGCTGGGTATGGCCCGGGCCCGACAGAGCGCAGCAGTCCTGCGGCTCATGCCTTGGCCACCTGTGCAGCTGTGACATAAGACCATAAGAACGGCCATACTGGGTCAGACCAAAGGTCCATCCAGCCCAGTATCCTGCCTACCAACAGTGGCCAATGCCAGGTGCCCCAGAGGGAGTGAACCTAACAGGTAATGATCCAGTGATCTCTCTCCTGCCATCCATCTCCACCCTCTGACAAACAGAGGCTAGGGACACCCTTCCTTACCCATCCTGACTAATAGCCATTAATGGACTTAACCTCCATTAATTTATCCAGTTCTCTTTTAAACCCTGTTATAGTCCTAGCCTTCACAACCTCCTCAGGCAAGGAGTTCCACAGGTTGACTGAGCACTGTGTGAAGAAGAACTTCCTTTTATTTTGCTGCCCATTAATTTCATTTGGTGGTCCCTAGTCCTTATATTATGGGGACAAGTAAATAACTTTTCCTTATTCACTTTCTCCACATCACTCATGATTTTATATACCTCTATCATATCCGCCCCTTAGTCTCCTCTTTTCCAAGCTGAAAAGTCCTGGCCTCCTTAATCTCTCCTCATATGGGACCCGTTCCAAACCACTAATCATTTTAGTTGCCCTTTTTGAACTTTTTCTAATGTCAGTATAGCTTTTTTGAGATGAGGAGACCACATCTGTATGCAGTATTCAAGATGTGGGCGTACCATGGATTTATATAAGGGCAATAAGATATTCTCTGTCTTATTCTCAATGCTTTTTTGACTGCTGCTGCACACTGCGTGGACGTCTTGAGAGAACTATCCATGATGACTCCAAGATCTCTTTCCTGATTAGTTGTAGCTAAATTAGCCCCCATCATATTGTATGTATAGTTGGGGTTATTTTTTCCAATGTGCATTACTTTACCCACATTACATTTCATTTGCCATTTTGTTGCCCAATCACTTAGTTTTGTGAGATCTTTTTGAAGTTCTTCACAGTCTGCTTTGGTCTTAACTATCTTGAGCAATTTAGTATCATCTGGAAACTTCGCTACCTCACTGGTTACCCCTTTCTCCAGATCATTTATGAATAAGTTGAATAGGATTGGTCCTAGGACTGACCCTTGGGGAATACCACTAGTTACCCCTCTCCATTCTGAAAATTTACCATTTATTCCTACCCTTTGTTCCCTGTCTTTTAACCAGTTCTCAATTCATGAAAGGATCTTCCCTCTTATCCTATGACAACTTAATTGACGTAAGAGCCTTTTGTGAGGGACCTTGTCAAAGGCTTTCTGGAAATCTAAG